AGATCTCAATCAACTTGTACGTTGAATAAGCAAGATCGAGAATGAAGACGACTTTGAACAGAGCGGTTGTACATTAGCTGCCTGAATGCCAAATTACATAAAAGACAGGCGAGATTTTTGGTTGCGTACACGTTCCACCCAACTACTAAGGAGTGCATTGTAAAAGTCCTTCAAGCTGTCTGGTTGACACCAATGTCCAAGATTAGCTTACCATATTTGCTACAAGCAGGTTCAAGTTCATACTTCAGCAAGCAAAAATCCAATGCAAAGCATACAAACTTGCGTTTGGTGAGGTAATAAAATGTGGTTTAGGTATTCGGATTCCAAATAACAAGGCAGGCTGCCACATAAGAAACGCTTAAGTGCAACACTCACCTCTGGTGGAGGATTTCAACCAAAGCTCGTCCGTCCTGTGGAATGAGCGCGAAATTGACACAGTCGTCTATGACTGCAGGAATCTGTTCTAGAACGAGGAACTCACAGATCTCTTGGATAAGTTCCCTATCCCTCTTGAGATTTTCCTCCTATCAATGATAAGTTCGAGTAGAGGTACTGAAAATGAAGATTCTGAAGCTTTTGAAATTAACGTAGACAAATCGAAGGACTATAACAGCTAACTCACTAACGCACACCAATAGTATGTAATAAGCGTTAACAAGTGCCATTCAGAAGGTTCTATTCCAGTAGCGTAATTCTAACCTTACGCAAACAGGTAGGCGTGCCAGGTAAAACTCCCACTAAAAGCATATGGCAAAAGACCTACCTCCTCCTTTGCAAAAGTAACAGTAGACTTGAAGGCATCTGAGTTGAAAAGAATCTCAAACGATCCATGCTTGAATGTTTTAATGGATTGTGCCGCCCTTTTCATGGCTTCTTTCAAATCCAGATCATCTAAGCCAACAAAATAAGTTGTTTTCCGCATTAAATGTTTAATCGATGGAAAATATGAACATCCAATGTTGACGAGGGCAACAGAAAACAATATAGGAAGTGATACCAACTTCAAGGTACAAACCTGTGCCCTCGGTCATGGCCTTCCTAATTTTCGAAACTAGAGTGGTGCCGACGGCGCCAGAGTGTTGAGAATTGGCAAAATTCTTTTCTTGGATCATAAATTGTTGAATCGATTTGCCGGACGAGTCCGAGTCGAGTAAGAGAACACCGTTCACATCAATGTTGGGGCCCTTATCTTCCCTCTCATCTGACTTCACAAGTTCCTTCTCTGCGTCCGTAGATGTGGTGCGAATCTTATGAAATTCCTCAGCCGCTTTTCTCACAAATTCCTCCTGGCGCAAGCTACACAAAAGAGATGTGTTCAAGCTTGAAACGAGGAGTTGTGAGACGATTATGCTGCCTAGAAGTCACTCATTATACAAACATTAAGCATTGCTAGTCTTACGAGCCCATTGGATCCACAAGCGTAACGAACGCACTTGCAGAAGAAATCTACCAGTTCCTGTCTAACGGATGGGAGAAGGTGGCGGTGGACATAAGGATAACCGAGCTTTCTCATAGTCTCGCTGAGTACAGGTCTAACGGGCGCGGGAGCACCACCGAGATAGTTAACATCGGGCGGAAAGGTGTTTAGAAGGTCGAGCAGATAGGTTCGGTTGTCATTGCCCACGATCCCCTTGCAATCCACTGAGGATAGCAGGTTAACAACGCTTCCTGATTTGTCCAAAACCCTAGGCAATGCAAATGTGATGTGCGCAAAGGGTACAAATTCAGGAGAGCTGAAGTTAAAGTGCTGCAAAATCAACACAGGTCAGATTACTCTATCCATACTTCTCAAAAGTACATAGGACCCATGTTCAAATAAAAAGGCTGCTTTTGCTAATCAAGGATATGGAGCTTACTTATGCGGACGGATCCTCAATGCTTTGGCAGATTTACCAAGAATTTCAGCATATCTCTTGTCAGCGACCACTGATTTGCCAAAATCGTTTGATCCATAAACGATGAGCTGGTCCTGCTCCTTCTCAAGAATTCCTGCAGAAAGTACTGGGTTTAATGCTCAAAACGCATTTATTTTTGTTAATAGCAATAAACTACGCTAGCACGACTTCAAACACGGATAGAAAACCAGATAACTTGCCTGGAATGATCGTCTGGGCGGTGACCCGGTAGCCACGATAATCAACGAGAGCAGTTCCAAGGGTGCAGACACCACTTTGATCCAGCGTTGAGTAGGCTCTGACTCCATTCAGATCGCAACTCTGAAACGAATTGAGTGCAAAAACTGTAGACAATTTGGCAATGAAGCCTAGTTTCACAAGTCGTGGGATTCGATCAATCTACCAACATATGAAATCAAGCTCAAAATGATGTATAATGCTGC